TTTCTGTGAGGGGGTGGGGCTGGGGTTGCGCCACCCCATGGCACTTCCTGAACCCCCAGCCCCCTCCCCACTGGCCGCCATGCGGCCGCAAAGTCGCGTGGACACGTCCGCGGGGTCGCGGACCTGGCCACGGCTGCGGACTTCGCCGCGCTTGGCCGCCTCCGAGGGGTATTCGTAGGTAATTAATATTCGGAGAGGCTCAAAACAAGTTCTCCAGTTGCCTCGATCCATGTACTAGTGGTTTAACGTAGCAGTGGAAGCTGCTTTGTGACAACCCCAGGTTGAACTTCTTCAACTCAGTCCTTTCGAGGCAAGATGGCCAAATTATAGCGGAACAAAGAAGGGGACTCTACACTCAACTAGCATGCCTTGATGAGAGTTCCGGTTACTGCAACTGCTACGGTAGTATGAACCTCCCAAGTCTCCCATTGAACCAATGGCATCAGGAATGGTCATAGGAACGGAAACACCCAATGCCTATTTTGGAACATAGTATGGTAAAAGGAGGCTTCGGGTTTATACATAAAAAGCCCCCACCTGTGGCGATTATAATAGAGAGATGGGGAAGCGAGTCCCCGCTACAAAAGGTCCTTCAGAATTTTTGATGGGCACCATATGCTCAGATTATGTCCATGAACCTTTGGGCTCTTCAGCGGCAAATTATCCACAAGTGCTTACCTACTGTGACCCCCAACTGGCTGGTGACCAGAACACACTCTGAAAAAATGGAACTTCGAAAAAAATAAAATAAAAAAAAATCACACATTTTTTTTTTTTTTTTTTTTTTTGGACGAGTTTTCCCGGCCTGCTAGGGGGCTTCTTGGATTGTCTGATGTGTCCTGCCCTATGGTTTCCCAGGTATGGAGATGGTGGGAGTCAGCCTGGCAAACCCTTTATAGGACTTTAGTACCTACTCTGGTATGCCAACCTACTCCTGCTAGTAGGTGGTTCAAAAAAGCTTAGGGTAAGAATGATAATTGGGCTCTAATGAAGTCGTGGAAGCCCTATGCAGTGAGGTTGTTCCCCATCACCCGACTACCGTCTTCCCCCGACCATAACGCGTACTAACTACTAAGCGTTGTAAACGAATACAACGCATAGGACCTGGTTGCTTTCTATTCTATTTTTTTGAATAAAACGCATGTGTGTTCTTATATCCGAACAATCCTTATTCTTGAGTACAACGTGCATGTGTTCTATTCGATTTTTAAAAATTTTCAAAAACTCAAATACAACTCATATGCGTTATGGCCGGGCGCAGTCGGTCACGGTAGTAGCCCTAACTTGAATGACAACTTGGGAAGTGCACTGCTCACATAACGAAAGGAACAAATCTTCCGGCGCCGACAAGCCCAGTTGAGATATAGAGGAGGTCATCGACAGGTGCATGCTCAAGGCTTGGAGGTGAGTTCAACACAAGCTCCGGGACGAAAAAGACGTAGCAGCAAAAAAAAAAAAAAAAAAAAAAAAAAAAAAAAAAAAAAAAAAAAAAAAAAAAAAAAAAAAAGAGCACGTAGCAGCTCAACAGAATATCTTACTGGCTTTCACTGGAACTTAGATTGGGCCCCGGAAAGGGTTTTGTGAACAAGACTTAAATAAATATGTTATGGAGACAATGGCACAACGACGTAGCCCAGCCGGAACGGCTACTGCCATCAACTTTTTTGACCTCATTCCCCAACCCCGACCCTCTTCCCTGTCTCTACCCAACTGACAAACGACGATTCCTCACGTATTTCTCTTTTGGTCCTGACCCAGTCCGGCTCGTACGCAGTCTCCAGCATTTAGAGGAAGCCCTCCCGAGCTTGTGACAACGGGCACTGCCTTTGTCTATTGTCTCTTGATATCTTCTCTTCCAGATTGCCCACAGCATCAGGGGTCTTATCCTCTGACATAGTTTGCACTGATACCCTTACCATTCATTGCTTGGGACATAGTTTGCACTGATACCCTTACCATTCATTGCTTGGGACATAGTTTGCACTGATACCCTTACCATTCATTGCTTGGGGCTCTGACATAGTTTGCACTGATACCCTTACCATTCTGAATCATTGCTTGGGGCTCTGACATAGTTTGAACTGG